TATATGCTACCTTTCCTCCCTTACTTTTCCCTGTAACGCTATGCTTGTCAGTTCCTCTGCATGCATTCTTTTTTTTCGGTACCAACGCTTCCAGGATTTTCTTTCAGGCAAGTTTCCATTGCAGGATTTTTTTTGGAAATTGTCAACCTACCTCCGGTTATTAAACAATTATTGGATGAGGTTGAGCATGATATAATGAATTATCAAAACCGAGGTCTGATAATACAGACACGAGGTTTTGACAATTCATGATATCATGCGAAAACTGAATTCAATAATTGTTTTATTATACATTTTTTAAACAATAGGCAAAAGAAGACATTCAGCCATTCTGTTTCTGAGGAGAACACTCCAAGGGGCTTGGTAACCAGGCAGACGTTGAACTTGACATGATAAATGCAATATCTGCAGCAGATATTTATCATGTCAAGTTCACAAGCTATTGTGAGTTGATTGAATGCTCTCGACCAATCAGATTTTTCATAGTGAGTCTGATGTATAATAGTCCTAATGGTCTGCCCCCTATTATTATGGCTGAATTCGCGAGATGGCGAGATGAAGTGAATCCTGTTGCGATCGGGCAAGATGGGCCCACGTTGCCTGCGCGTTGGTCCCGCAAAAAGTTCTCTTTTTTGCCATATAATATATACTTGATTGACTTCATGCTATATAGGATAATGCCTGAGCTCTAGGCCTTCTTAAAAATAATGACTCGAGGTCGGATAATGCCATGGATCCTCAAGGAGCGAGGGCATTATCCGGTTTAATGCACCTTTCCATTGTTCTAGAACCGTAATAATAACCCCCTGTTCCACGTCAGTGACCTGCCCTTCCATTTATTAAAAATAATAACCTGTTCAAAACAAAAGAAAGGTGTATTAATGGTCAAAAATGCTTATTTATTGTAATTGGAGCATATAATCTATATTAAAACCAGGAGGGTTAAGTATAATTTGTGTAACAGTTACAAAGAATTTCCTCATGCAGGTTAACTATTAACAGAATGGTGGCAGGTGAAATAACAACAATAATTTTTGCTTACATAACCGGTATAAGTACAGGTATGTGCCACAGAAGAGTCGTGTGTGCAAGTGATGATGTAGTAGGAGTTACTAGCTTGTATTTGGCATTTGCGTTTAATTCCTTCATGGCCAAAAAGATCCAAACATAACTCCAAGTTACCTACATCAGTACCTGTGTCACATGCTGATGCCTTGAACATGTCACTCCTCTTATAACGTCCCTGACCTAGGTCAGAAATGAAAAGTAACTTTTATCAACGGTCACGCAGTCATCAAGGGCGTTGCTTGGTGTAAAGTGCAAATTAACTGATTTTCTCTCAAATACAAAGTAAGCGACGTCCTAGATGAAAAGCCTCGCACTACCTCAGGGATTTTTAAGTGGGAGTGTCCCGCTGGGAAACTCGAATCCCTACGGCATATCAGACCATATTTCTGCACTTTCCGACCCTACTCTAGACTAGGTACCCAACACTAATTATATACAGCTATTTCGAGAAAGGTTGTCGGATAAAGTACACGCGACAACCCCGAAAGGTATTGTGGGTGGTTTTGAGTTCACTGTTTTTCAAAGAAATTTGAAAGAATGGCAGGAGAGGCCGTGGACATAATTATGTCTGTGAGTGCTAAAGGAAAGCAACAAAAGTAGGTTCGACAGCTACAGTGTCAGGAACAGTGCATTGATCATATCCCATATTACCTTTCGAGATTGTCGCGTGCACATTTTTTCCGACAACCTTTCTCGAAATAGCTGTGTACATGAACCAGACAGCTCTGATTCCTCATACGACTGATCAATTTTTCATAAATTATACTATATCCTAGATTTCTCTATTCTGTCCGAGATTACACTCTTTAGCTCCGTACCGCCCCCCACCCTTGAAATTACCAAAACACCATTATATGACACTGGGATAGCCGGAAAGAAAATTTTGCTTCTACTTTCAAGTCTACTGAAAACAAGAACTGACAACACAGAGCATGTACAATGGGAGCCCTGCGCGTCTATAGGCTAATTTGCAGTTGTATGCAACCAACCTACCGCCTTTGAGTGCAAGCGAGGTTGGCGTTTACTTTCTTTTGCTATAAATGCCAGTGCTTTTCCATATGCATAACAGCATGATTTTTATTTAAAAGGAACTGAGGTTTCTATCTAAACAAAGTCACCTTCAACCTTCCTTCCACTCAAGCTCAGGGTACTTAGGTAAGTATAAAATTGTAACTTGGTTTAATAAAGCATAAAGCATTCTAGCTAAAAGAATACGATGTAAACTAAGATGAGCCCCAGAGAGTTGAAGGTGGAAGCGGAACACTGACTGATAAAAAATGAAACTTATGAATAAGGAATGATGAATATTTGGAGTTAGAAATTCTAAAATTATGAATAATTCACTATTTTCACATAGACCATAATGCACCTTGTTATATAGCTGGAGATTTTTTCTCAACAGCGTGCTGTCTCATTGGTTACTTCCAGGTCACATGACATCTAACAATGAAACTGTTTCCCGCCAAAATCTCTGATCGGGCAACATTGCAAAAAATCTATGACATCAGAGGGTAACGCCGGCACTGTTACCAGCGAATGTTGACCGACGACCGCCGTTACAGCGATTTTTAATGAATTTCCAGCTTCAAAATTTCCAGCTATATAACAAATTGCTTAAAGACTGGTCCCTTCAGTAAATTTGTTTTCCTCAAATCTCAATGTTTCTAACTGCTTACCTCGTGACCAGTCATTAAGTGTTCTTTCCCCCTCCCCCCCTTCCCCCTCCAAAAAAACAGAATTGCATAACCATTGTCTTCGATTTCTCTTTGGACGACTGTAATACCCAGGAGAAATTGGAAATGGTTATGCAAAATTTGGGTGGGGGGTAAACACGACGCATTATGGTCTATGTGGAAATGGTGAATAAAGTCTTGTCATTGGAATAATGAATAACTGATTAACACACTCAGTAATATTCACTTTTTAAATGGAAGTAAAGAAATGAAAATTTAGCAAAGGACGAAAGTATTCTTTTTTAACCACATTTGGTAATAGTCCGAGAAACAAAAGAGTACTTTCGGAAATGATACCCCGGCCACTGATGCAATACAAAGCATTGATATTTGGACTGTACAAGTTGTCAGTCGGTGGTGTCCTCACAGCATTGCCACACCACGTGTTCGATAACGGTGGATAGATGTTTATGGACTTATCATAAACGCAGACTCCTTGAGAAACTGTTATCATTTCTAGGGGAGTTGCAAATTTTTATTTAAAAATGGGAGGAACACTGATAAACAAAGAAGAGTCGACTGAACCATTCGAACAGCAACTCGAGGTCCTCATCACGTTTTATCTTAGCAACTGGGAGGCGCTTTGAGATGAGCCATGCATGATAATAATTTATCTCAACTGGAAAATAAACTCCGCCTAAAATGTGCCAAAGAGCACCCGATTGTTCGCTGGTCACCCTAAAGGTTAAGTAATACGGGCAACATTTTCGCACAACTTGTCGCGCAACATTATTGCGTTGCAAGTTAAAAAGGGCTGTTGCCCGTATTACCATCTTCGCTCTCAACTTGTCACACAACAAATTTCGATGTTGCAAGTTGCGGCTCTTTGAGAAAATCATGCGTTGTGATTGGTCGACAGTGTGTTTTTTTGTTAGCAAACAAAATGGCTTGTTGACCTTCTGTGGTTTCTTTTTTTACTTCCCTTGTCAATGCCGTTCTAAGGCTATGTAGTTGTTTTTTAAGACAGTTTGGTGAATGTTAAGTTTTTGACATAACTCATCCAGAGCTGTTGACCTGCTTGACTTGTTTTTATACTCTGGTCCACAAGTTTCCGACCGACATGGGTGCTTTTCGAGTTCTTTGCTCAAATCTTTTCTTTGGGCCTTTTACATTTTTTCACTAATAAATTCACAATCTTAGGTCTCAGCATTCTCAACCTCCACAACCTCGGCCATGTTTACTTCCTGCCAAGGGATATGCCCACGGTCAACTGCGCGCTATACTCACTATCTTTCCCGCGTTTTTGGTATGGGAAAATTGACCAATCACAAGTGCTGTGAAGTGTAGCAAGTTGTGATGCAAATGATAAAATTGCAAAAAGTAGAACTCAGGTCTACTTTGTGCAACATGTTGTCACAACTTGCAACATCGAAATTTGTTGTGTGACAAGTTGAGAGCGAAGGTGGTAATACGGGCAACAACGCTTTTTAACTTGCAACGCAACCGTGACAATGTTGCGCGACAAGTTGTGCGAAAATGTTGCCCGTATTACTTGATCTTAATGGTAGAAAATCTCTTGCTGTCTCTTATTAAGGCGATACGATCCTGTGTGTGACCGGATCGGAATGGCAATTTGACAAGCCTTCCAAAGAGAACTGGAAAGCAAGGTATACGGCGGTCCTGTGTTTTCAGTACTTTTCCGGCCCTAGAGCTGTTACTTAGACTTTCCCTACTCATCCTAATTCGGTCGTATCATGGAGTGTGGTAAAAGGGACGTTAAATCTAAACGAAACATCCCGAGCTTAGAGAGGCACGATTTGGTCTTTACCAGGCAAAGTTGATGTAAAGTAGTAATGAATAGTGAATATTGAGCTAAAATTTAATATCAAAAATGAATAATGAATGAGCCAGGACAAAAAGACTGGCCAGGAACAACGAATAACCTAGATACAATTATTCCGTTAACCGTTCACCGTAAAAGGGCAAACAATTTCAAACATTTTTCAGCCGGTATTTGTGTAAAGAGCGCCATCAAAAAACCGTTTCTGGTTAGATTTTTACGTGTCTTGTCTGGTGACCATTATTCCGCTTTAATATTCGGCTTTCTTATGATATGAATTTATGCAGATCTCGATGGTTGATCTACGTAATGATCTTTCTTGTCCTCATCCAACAGTTGTTAAAAATGAAAATTGTTAACAACAAATTAGCAGTCTGATAGTTAGTACCTTCCATCTCTAACAGAGAGTCGTTCATCCC